ACGGACCGAATTGAAACCAAGTTGTCGAATGACATACCGAAACACTGGAAACGAGTGGTATGTTATGGTTCATGATATCACATTCATACCAAAACTCGTGAAAACAAAATGTTTGTTAGTGTTATTTTCTTGATCATAGTATTAAAATAAAAAATGCAAATATATTTTGCAAAGGGATAAAGGAAAGGAAAGGAAATTAAAAAAAAAAAAAATTAAATTTACTTTTGCTCTTTCATCCTGATAAAAATCATAGTCAAAAGACTTTGAAGCTTTGCAGCCGCAAAACTATTGAAGCAGGATTAAAATCATAAGCTTTGTAGCTGCAAAACTATTGAAGCTGGAATAAATAAATGATAGAGCACAACAAACAAGAAAGGGATATTGAAATAATAAAGGGATTAGAGTGAAATTATTCACAGCAGATTTGTAGAGAATTTAATTGGCTTCAATTGAAGCCCAATCACGTTCAGATCGGATCGAAATTAATAAAGTTGTGAGGCAAAATGTATGTTAGTGTCATATTCCTGACAAAAATCATAGTCAAAAGACTTAGAAGCTTTGCAGCTGCAAAACTATTGAAGCTGAATAAATCAATGATAGATCACAACAAATGAGAAAGGGATATTTAAATAATAAAGAGATTAAAGGGAAGCAATAAAATATCTATACCTAACAATTTTTTCAAACACAATATTAAAATAAAAATAAATTCAAATCCCGGATTTGTCTCCATTTTTTTTTGGTGTATGGGAATAAGCACAATTCGCATAAACACCGGCACAATTGAGCACAAAACGAGAAAAGTTGACCACAATTAATTGAGAAACAATACAAAACCGAATGTGGTGGGCCAACTTGAGGGATCCTTTTCCCTCCATGTTGCAATTTGCCAATTTTACTTGCACACAACTTTCAACAAAACCGAAAATAAATTAAAGTGTGTTTTTTTTTTTTAATATTCCCCAAGTCAAAAATTTAGTAACTATGTTGACAACACCACCCTTTTCTACATGAAAAATTTGGAAGCATTGACAATTTTACATTGTATTGCCAACATAATGTCATTTTGACTTTTATCTATAAAAAAAAACAGACTTAATGACTTGCCAGAACACTCCCCCAACTTGTTTGGAAGGCGCAGACCGACGCGGGACTGCGGCAGCGGGAGCGAGAACGAAACTTTTGCGGGACCTGAATCAACGGCGGGATATGAAGGACCTGAAGGAGTGCATACCGGTACGAAGAGAACGCATGCGATTTGCGGGATGTCTGCGAATGAATTTAGGTTCGCAGCGTACAGCGTTTTCCCGCAGTTCGCGTAGTAGTTTGATGATGTTTTTGTATTGTTTGGACGCTACCACGTGTTTCGAGTATGACGGAAACTATCGCGTTGGTGTGCATGCTATGCAAACTCCTAGCTGCCGCATCAAACGCTAGCTCCCGTTCCCGCTACCGCTACCGCATTCCCGCGTCGGTCTGCGCCTACCTAACGTGCAAGCGATTTTTGCCGCAACCACGTCCCGTCAATTTTGCGACTTGCTGGGAGGGGACTGTCGGACACTGTTGATATTCAGCAGATTCTTTGGAAGTACTCTCAGACATAAACTTGCGATAGTTTAAGTTGCTCGTGTAAACTACGCTTAAAACTACCTACCTACTTCAATAATTGAGCACCAGTTTTTAAGATATTAAGTAATAAGAACATATGCATTTAAAAATGCTTTATCGAAGAGCATCCTCCGACAATAAAGCTTGTTTTGAAATGATTGATATCATTGTAGTTTTAATGGTGAGAAAAGTAAACTTAGAAGTTACTCGAATTAAGTAGGTAGATAACAATAATAATATTCTTCGTGAAGAATAGATTGTAGGTAGGTACTTTAGTGTTACACCAAATGAAAAACGGTTTAATAGTCAATCTATATATATAAAAATCAAAGTTCACGGGGTATCCGGATATGCGCTCTAAAACCACCTATCCGATTAAGATGAAACTTTGGTAGGTTATTATGGCCAACCCAAGGAAGGTTTGTGGATAGGTTACGCATCTCGGAAAAAGAAATTAATTTTGAATTAATTATTAATTTAATTGTAAACAAACTCATTCGCATTACATAACAACATAACCCAACTTTTTTTGACAGCATGAAATAACGTTGACATATTTCATTTATTTAGGCTTGCATTCAACCGACGTAACTTTATTATTTTTTGAATTCAAGAACGGCTGGACCGATCTTGAATTAATACCACGTATCTCTATATAAGGTGAATTCGATTGACCCAGATTAGATCGATTTGGGTTCAATTTAAGTGAACTTCTTCTGATCTAGATCATTTTTTTGTTGATGAGGGTGCACTGATCCAGCTTGAATCGAACACAGTGTGGTTCATTTAAATTGAACCAGATCGATCTAATCCGGTCAATCGAATCGGCTATAGAGGAGAGTGATATAGGCTATTTTTTATCCCGAAAAAAAAAGTTCGGTTGCTTAAAACTCTGATACACTGGAACGCCTATAAACAGCCCGGGGCGCTCTAGAGCAGCTCTGGAGTGCTTAAAATGCGTCACTGAACTCACTGGCAAGCGACTCTGATATCGGATTAAAAATAATATAAAATCAACAACAAAATTTGAAAAGAAGTGTATTATTTCAAAATGTATTTACACGCTGGCAACGCAGCGGGTCATTAGCTAGTATTTTATAAAATATAATGAAAGTAGGTATAAAATTCAATCTCTAGACTATGAACAAGAATTTTAAAATTCATTAAGTATAGAATTTCCTGACTTCTCATTCCACATGGTTTTAAAGCCTATAAATACTCCATAATTATCATTTACAACATAATCACATCACCTAAAAAAAAATCTAACACAAATCTCGCATCGGACATCAAGACCAGAAGCAGGCCATCCTATTCAGGCTTCCATATAATTATTATTATACCTTCACCAACAAGGCATTTTTGATACAGTCATCCTCAAAGGTGGGATTAAAAAATTCCAAAACAGCCTCTTGACTTTATCGTTTTGACACCTGATTATTTTTGTACCCTACAATTACTTATACCCAATGATTATCTTCTTAACAGGGTAGGAGCCCTACTGAAACAAGACAGCATATAATTATTATTGAAAAAAGCAGCATTGTAACACGTAAATATTTTTAGAAATTTGAGGCTTCTTTTTATAAGAGTAAAATTGAAACATCTCGACTTTAGTCTAAAATAGACAACAGAAGAAGGCCACTACCTGTAATTATAACTTCCAAATCTTCATTGATATAAAGAAGAGATAATAATGTTATTGTATGTATAACGCCTCTTGGCCATTATAAAATTCTACCGTTTTCACTGGGTTTAATTGAGAACCGAAAAAAAAAAAAACCGTCCCCGTATAATTTTTCTTGTCATTCTGATCAAAATTCGATTTCGCCCTTGGAATTCTTTTCAATTGTGTGAGCTGCTTATCGAATTATCGCCCCTTATGTCGTTTTCTGGTTGTCTAAACAACCAGTCGACGTCTGTTTGTATACCAAGGGGCGGCACGATTTTCTAAAATCGATAGATTTGGGAAGATAATGGATGTTTTTGTTGACAAGAAAATCAACTTGAAATTATAGACATGCCCTAGTGCCTAACTAGAACAAGCAAACAAGCACTGTTTTGGATAGTAATCAATTACGCGCAAAAATGTAGATAGTCCTAAGTTGACCGAACGCCATTTTGTTAAATATTTAGAGAAATCTTATTAATAAAAATTAAATTGAATTATTCGAGGAAGAGTTGAGTTGAAAGGAGGTAAATCGGCCAGTCAAAATGTAGATATGGAGGGAAGTTTGGTCGATTGTGTACCTTAAAATAACTAATCAATATTTGGCTTCCGTCGTTGTTGCACTAGTACGAAGATTGTTTTGATCAAAATTCAACAGACTTGAGATGCGCCACTGCCACAGAGTTCGAATGTTAAATATAAACCATAATTTAATAGCTCATAACTTGACGACCATACAAACTAAGCCTCTCTGGGCTTTTTAAGTCACTGCTGAAAAAGTGAAAGAAAAAATAAGCTGAGATGAAGTAAGGGATGGGTGAGAGCTAAATAGCAAATGTCATAGTCATAAGTATCTATGTATATGAGGAAATTTGATAAATGTGTCTAAAATGAAACTAACCTGGGTTTAATAGAGGGATAGGTATTCTAAAAATGAGTGATCTTAAATTTACTGAAATAGTGACTTAAGTGACCAGAGACCATATATTTACCACTAACCTCAATTGAATAAAGTATGAAAGCAGAAATTGAGATTACACGCAAGATGAGAGAATATCTTGTTCTTTCAATATTCAGTAAATCTTATTTATTGCTAGAAGGTATGGTGGAAATTTATCTACCAGACTCATAATACCTAATGGATATTTCGTAAATTTTTGGCGGTAGATAAAATATTACAAGAAACACGAGTGATAAAATAATTATTCACAAATGTACAGGGTGTCACTATATTTTGACACCCACCTGCAGCCGTAATTACAGGTGATAGGTAAAAGGTGTAAATACAAAATTTGTAGCATTTTATCTGAACCGCGAGAATTTTTAATTAGATTGAACAAGTGAGCAACGCAAAGTAAAAAAAAATGTCGATGTTCACTTTTTTTGAATGGAAAGCCCCTTATTTTCTCTCAAATTCTTAAATATCTCGTTTTTCTGATTCAGATTAAATAATAAGTTAATGTTATTTCTTTAAATAGACTGTAGTTTTTTGACTATATTTCACCTTGATTTACCTGTGAATAGCTCCCTAAATAACTAAATTTCAGATATTTCCAAAAATATTAAAAGAAAAATATTAACATATTACCTATTATAATCTGAATCAGAAAAACGAGAACTTTAAGAATTTGAAAGACAATAAAGTATATTCGATTTGAAAAAAGTGAACATTGACATATTTTTTTACTTTGTGATGCTATTTTTTCAATCTAATTAAAAATTCTGGCGGTTCAGATAAAATGCTGCAATAACTTTTGTATTTACACCTTTTACCTATCACCTGTAATTACGGTTGCAGGTGGGTGTCAAAATATAGTGACTCACTCTGTACACATATTGTAAATAGCAAAAAATTTCCTTGTTGGACATGCTGTAACTTTCAAAGGTTAAAACGAAATAAAACCACAAAATTTTATTCACGAAGGAAGGTCTCTATATTATATTTAATCATGTATTTTTTTTTTCTTTCTATACAATAACGTAAAGTTATACATTATTTAGACATAAATTTCTAATGTCCGATACTAGTGAGTAATAATAACAAGATTTACAGGTAGGTAGTTATATACTTTGAGTATAGAGGCTCTAAGAACTATAGTTTGAAAAATAGGAACAAAATAAACAGAAACAATCTTTCATATTAATGGAAAATGCTAATGAAGTTGGCTAAACAAAATCGATAATTCTAGCATTTCCTTGTACATACATTGCGGTGTATAAAATATAACCACAGTAAAACAAAACTTAACTTTGAATAGGACAGGATTTTTCACCAAACGTTATTTTTTTGTCATACAATAATTATTAGCTTGATTTTAACAGAGAGATAAAAATTACTACAGCTTTAAATGCTGATGAAGAAACTGGTTCTTAGTAGACTGTTCATCTACAGACTAAATATTAACTACAATTTGCTGTACAAAGTATAATAGGTAGGTATCTACATTTTTACATGTTGTCCTATTGGCATTACGGGGAAATTTTCTAGTTGCGGAAACAGATTTAAATCCTCGTGTCTAACTAAATAACATGTTTCTTGTTGATAATCATTGTGCAAAAAACCAAGATAATTCGAAAATGTGGCACTTAGAACCAAATTTATAGTCGTTCCTTGAGGCTTAACTCGTTAGCGTAGAATGGATGCTTGTTACTGTTTGATAGGTTTGTCAAGCCAATTGTATCCAAGGCTTCCCAAGATCTAAGGAAACCTCAAAGACCATCTATATATTCGGATCTTAGTACTCTAGGAGTTAGGCATATCTCTACGTTCACGTGTTATCCTACATTGATTTAATGAACTCTGGAATCAAACCAAATTGGTGCGGTACATGAGCTTCACTAGCAGTTACTATCTATCTTAGTACACGCACAAGATCCACGCCCATTTGTTTTCGCGTTCAGAAAGAGTCAGTGAAACATTTTTTTTTGAAAGCGTCTTGCAAAGTCTATTATATTGACCTGGACCACGGAACACTCGGATAGGGCAAATTCACATTCACATCTGAATGGCGATGCTTGTATGTCTGGCAATGTGGTTTTTGTGCAGAAATATCAATGAATTTGATATTTCTGGGCAAACTATATATTGCCACGATTGCTGAAGTTGAGATGATCATGGACCGGAATAATAACCCTTATATTTTCCCAATTTAACTGTTGGTTTGTCTAATTTATTATTATTTCGAACCCTCAAGAATAAAAAAAATTGGAAGAAAAATTTTTGTTTGTTTGCCACAACTATTTTTTATTTGTCTCTCTGTATACGGTTCTTATCTAAAGGTGGGTATTCATTAGAGCAGTTTTGCCGAACGAAATGAACGAGTCAAACGCGCAAAAACGAAGCGAACTAAATCTCTTTGTGCAACGGACATTTACCGACAGACCACAGATAAAGTTTGGCGCGCTCTGTTCGGAAAAAATTATGCTCGGAGACGGTTACTGACTAGGCGAATTCGTGGGTGCGCGCTCGTTTCGTTTGGACCAAAATCCTCTAATAAATACCCATCTTTAGAGCATTTTGGTCGAACGAGCCGAGCACGTACCACCAAATTCGCCTAGTCAGTACACCTGTCTCCGAGCATAATAATTTTTCTGAACAGAGCGCGCCAAACTTTATTGTTGGTCTGTGGGTAAATGCTCAAAAGAGATTCAGTTCGCTTCGGTTATGCGCGATTGGCTTGTTCGGCCAAAATGTACTAATGAATATCCACCTTTAGCATCGCTTCTTGAAACATGACAGCTTAAAACAAGTGATGGCCAGTTTTTTCCTCAATACCCGCAAACAATAATTAACGTGAGCAGCATTTGCGTTGCGTTGTTCGGATGAGGATCGGTATTCATCATATTGATAACGTTCAATAAAAAAATCCACGTCAAATCACTTTGACTCTAAAGAAGCTCCTCCAGCAGTAAAGTTATACTCAAAAACGCAATATAAAACATTCTTAAAAAAAGTAAACGAAATTCTCCAAAAAAACCTTAAAAACTATGCACCTAAAAAATATCACTAATCACATTCACATATTTTGTGGTCAAAAGATCACTGTCAGCGGCCGTCTAAACTCACCAGCAGCCGTTTGGGAAGGATACTGACTCGTATACTGAGCCATTGGCAATATACCTGGCGGAACCTGGCCCTGCTGCATGGTACTATTAGGATAGTACCCAGGGGGCAAGCCTCCTGGTGAAGCACCTGCCGAAGAAGTCGTAGTGGAACTTGAAGAACTTGCTGCGTCCAATCGTTCTTGTATAATACCACCTTTGGTATCCACCGGAGAGTCACTTCTTGGAGATGCTCCCAAATTATTCACACCAGCAGATAACTGTTGCTGCTGCTGATGCTGTTGGTTACTAGCATCATACATTTTACTTATATCTAGGCCAGGATAGGACCTAGGGCTTTCAGCTCCCATATACATTTTAGAAGTTTCAAAGTAAGCTTTGGTTAGAGCGGAAGTTGAGTCCAAATAGCCACGCTCTAGATAACTTTTGGAGTTCGAGTCCATGTATTTAGGGTCGGAGTACATGGACATTGCCAGGGTGGAAGGAGGCATGTAAGGTGAACGGTATTTGTCCGCTTCCATCGAGTATTTCATTGCGTCCATGGAGCTTACGACCTGAAACAAAAATAATTTTGTTAAAAATACTGTAGGTGTCTCTGTTGACAATCAACAATATTGTTTATCTAACACATCAAACTCAAGTTACAATTTTTTTTTATTCTTTAAATAAACCATTTTTCACAGGGTGCTAAAAACCCCAGGATAAAGATCTTACAAACAGATACATTGTGACCTGTTAATACCTTCTCTATTGTGTGTGGTACCCTGGTATACGAAAAATAAACACCAGAAAAAATCTCATTTGCGACTAATAATTTAAGTAAATTTCTATGGTTCGACGTGCTAATTGGGTGCTGGAGCTACTTGTTTTTGTCAAGTGTTGCCCAACATTTGTTTTTTCCGTGAAAGTAAAATTGACTATAACAAAATTATAGTAGGCATTATTATCGTCACATAAAGGCGATATAAAATCAGCAATTAAGTCAAACATTAATGTGAAAAACAATTAAAATAGATTATTTGTGTTCTCGAAAACCCATTATTATACCTATAGAAAAGTTGGTATTAGCTTTTATGTTTCCTTGTGTGAGGCTTCGGTTTTAATATATTAATAATGTTTTATGGCGTCCTTAAACCTGCAAATTATTGTTATTAAGTCAATAAAAATTCTTCTTTACGGGAATTAGCCATACAGGAGTTCCGCCCGATGTGATAAAACAACAAGTATAGGAAGTTGTAGGAACAGTTGAATGACGCCTTTACAACGAAAAATTTTATATCTCGTATCAGCTCAACAGGTATTTGTTTATTTTATTGGAATGTTTATACTGGCATTGTTTTTCCTCAGTAGCTTGGTTACTGTCCTACCAATATGGAGCCTGACGACGCAGATTAAGCCATAAAGTGAGATCGGCCCAAGTACGACTTACTATGAAGGGAATTGGAAATAACAAAAATCAAATTAGGATTTATCTAAATGGTGTGTTCGTGGCTGAGCTGAGAAAACTTTTGAAGGATCCGAAAATCCATATAAGCCCGAAGAGGTAGTTATTCAACACATACATCCTCCCTCTGATAACTTATGCCTTCACCAACAATAAAATCAGCCAACAGACAACGCAAAGGGCTATAAAAAGAATGATGATGGGTAATAAGTACCAGGGATCACCAGAAATGACGAGATCAGACGAACTGCTACGCTTTTTCTGTGCAAAATAATTTAAAGTGAAAATTGAAAAAAATAAACAAAATTATCAAGATTGCAGGACTGATGGTCAAAGTACGTGCAAACTAAGCCCTCACACAGAATTAAAAAAATCGGAGAGTAGGGGTGGGGTAGTTCACAATTAATATTCCAAATTAAATTTAAATTTGAAAATTCAAAATACAAAATGATGTGGTAACTGAAATGAGTTAACCAAAAGTTGAAGACAGAATATAGAAATAAAAATAAAATTAACTAATTAATGGAACACTTACCCAGTCACAAACCTTAATACAATGATGTGATCAAAGCTAAATAGATAAAATTAATCATCCACATGAAACAGGTTACGCCTAGCTAAATAGTTATTTATATCACTAGTACGGTATGAGCTTCATTACAGTAACGAGTGGGGAATATTGCCAAGACGAGGTCGTAGACCGAGTCGTGGTAATCACACGAGTGTTGTAATGAGCGTTACCGTACGTGTGATAGACAACATTTTATGTACGACTCAGATTTTTTTATGTAGGTATTCGGTATAGATTATATTTATAATTTTTGATAAATGAATTTTAAAAAGTGCAGTTTTAAAAAAAAAATTAGTTACGTAATGAGCTCATTACATCACTAATGATTTATATTACATCACTAAGTACTATGATACAACTTATTACGTAACTCAAACAGGCTAAAATGAGTTACGTAATAAGCTCTTACAGTGTAGGGCATACATAAATAACTGTATCTAGTGGTTGTTTTACTTGTCACTTGGTACAAGTACCTACTGAATTACACCCTCACGTACCGCGGTGATCACTTTGGCGCACAAAATAGGGGCAAAATGTGTAAAATTAAAATTAGTAATATAAAATAACTAGGGCTTCGCGAGACCACAAGACTAGTCTTGGTCTTGTCTTGGTCTTTGTAGCAAGACCAAAACCAAGACCGAGACCTAATAAATCTTCTTTAGACCAAGACCAAGACTTGACGTTCAAGACCAAGACTCTCTCCCGAGACTCTCGTCTTGGTCTTGGTGTTGAAAAAAAAATCAACTCAATATTTATAAAAATATGCAAATTTCTATTTCTACTTCTAATGTCTTTTAATTAAATCAATTCATCTTTATTATTTTTTCAAATTCACGAGAAGGTATTATAGGTTTTAAAAATACAACATAGTGCAATGGAAGTCAATCGTGGTTGTTTTGTAACTTATATTATAATTTGTAGCATTTTTTCTGTTAACTAAAATTCTAATTTGAGAATAATTGATGTTTGTTTATTCCTCTGTGTTGTGGAATGCTTTATGCGGTATTTTTTGACATGAAACGCTCTTGTTGGTAAAAATAGCCTATGAAAAAGACCAAATGCATTGTCGAAACGTCGGCATATTTTTTTCAGAAAAGGAGTTTTATTTTTTATTTCTGAAATCCTCAACCCATTATCTCTGCGCTGTCGTTATATGTTATGTATATTTTAAAAATTTGGTATAAATTTTTTTCAAAACTATCAACACCAAGATCAAGACTATCAAGACCAAGACTAAGACTGAGTCAGTCTTGTCTTGGTCTTGAAACTTCAAGACCAAGACCAAGACTGCATTTATTTTTCGAGACCAAGACCAAGAGTGACCAATCTTGGTCTTGGTCTCGCGAAGGGTCCCCCTCGCGAAGCCCTAGAAATAACAGCAAAGAATACTTAAACTAAAGCTAGTAACACACCAATATGTTCCAAGTGATGGCAACAGGTTCAATTAACCTGGTTACAGGTTGTAGCTAGCATGTTCAAACCAGTCGTAAGGTTCAACAGTACGAAAATAAAGGTATAACGGTCCAAAAAGATGTAGGCTCTGGTAGAGGTATAGTAGCCTTACAACTGTGTAGGCTCCGATGGAGGTTGCCGTACACTTAAACGTGTAGCCTTTAGTTGAAAAGGGCTGGCCTCAATTTTGTGGCCGTAAGTAAAAACCCTGTTGGAATGGGTTTTATTTGCCTCGAAAACACTCTGGATTAGTCTGGATCGAGGTCTGGATTCGAAATCCTGAACTGAGTGAGGCGGTCTTTACTCTAATCCTTATCACGAATGGATAGCTGTAAAAATCCCAAATCATCGGCGAAATTATGGAACTTTACGAAAACGTAACGCAACGTAAGGCAACTCAATGTACCTAGATTTAATAATTGAGAATATTAAGGTCAAAATCCCTCAAAGGCGAAGATAAAATTTACCTTCTTCAGAGAGTCCTTTTTCTCGGAACCAGCAAACGTGAAAGAAAGGAGCACCACTTAATAGCTATTTACCTAACAAGTGCGGAAATAGCTATTTATACAATAAGTTACGAAATGAGCGTCTTTTAGGCACGCGACGTGAAAATTGTCCAACGAGGCACAGGCGAGTTGGACAACACGTCGAGTGACTAAAAGACATCGTTTCGTAACGTATTGTATACAAGATTTTTTCTACTGGCATTTTATAATAAAAAAACACAATTTTATTACATGTGAATAAGTGGATTACGCCCAAAATCTTTGTTACCTGCTTTTACTTGACACCTGACACTTTTCTTGCGATTTTTTTTCAAGATTTGACATCAATAATTAAAATCCTAGAAAGTATGTCCCAACACAAAGTGCTGTTTTGAGTAACCCAAACGTTCAATTCAGTAATTCCATTTTTAATATTCATAATGAATACAAAACAAAATTCAAATCTGTGTTTAGTGTGTTTTTTATTTCTAAATAATGAATGACACTTTTAGGCACTAGTGCTTAAAAATTACTTTCACGCACTCAAAAGTCACTTTTACACATTCAAAAGTCACTTTTACGCACTGAGTGCTTAAAAGTAACTTACACGCACTCAGTGCTTAAAAGAATGTCGTTTTAAAACTAAAATGACAATCGAAAAGTTGCTATTATGAAACGTCAGTAGAAAAAAATCATTTTCCGCACGAGTATGCCGCTCCGCAGCAGCCGAGTGCAGAAAAACATCTGCCGCAAGTAAGTGTTAGGTACAATAGTTTTTCTACAAGACATGTGAATAAGTATATCTACATAATTACTAGTAATTTATTATTATTATTTTTTTTGTCAGCCGTGAGGAAAATTTTTTCCGCACTAGTGCGGGAAAACTAATTTTCCGCACGGGTTTGACTTTTTCTACGACTGCTTTAGAAAGCTATTAAAAACGCACTACTAACTTACCTAGAAAATGAAATATTCCGCACAGCGTGCGAAAAGTACTTTTCACACGCTCCAACCGTGCTAAATAGTATATTTCCTAATTAGGCGGAAAGTGCCACTTTTTCGCACGCGATTGCAGTTTGCCGAACGTCGCGGCTCGTGCCACCAAACTTCCCCACACGTGCTATTTTCATCACTTTTTGCAGAATATACTATTTCCGCACGGCTGTAGAAAAAATTAATAAGCTGTCCTAGATTTGAAGAATAGAGATGAGGAAAAGTAATGAAAAAAGTCAAAAATAAATTTGGTAAAATTTTAAGTACCAAAAATTGCACACAATATAATCAGAGAAAAATTAATTACAACAGTGGACGAGTTATGATAACAACAACAAGTAATTAACCACTAGAAAAATCATAGTTTGAAGGATACGACAATGAATAAACAATAGGCTCGTACAGCATATTGTTTTTATTACAAATTCTAAAAGAGCGTATTGAGTTTAGCAGTTTTGCAAAATTTCATAATTTTCTGAGCCCTTGTTCATATTTAAATAAATTATCAAAACGATCCAAATTTGAAAGTTTTGAAACACACGGTCACGTCACTGCATCTCTCACGTTGGTCGTGTGACGGCCTTTAGCCCGTCTTGACTCGAGAGATGA